TTGTGCGATTGTTGCTCGAGGCTGGAGCTGACAAAGATGCAGCAGATACCGGTGGTTGGACAGCTTTACGCATTGCAGCCGAGGAAGGCCACTTGGAAGTTGTGCGATTGTTGCTCGAGGCTGGAGCTGACAAAGATGCAGCAGATACAGATGGTGATACGGCTTTGCACATTGCAGCCCTGGGAGGCCGCTTGGAAGTTGTGCGATTGTTGCTGGACGCCGCAGCTGACAAAGATGCAGCAAATACCGAAGGTTCAACGGCTTTGCACTTTGCAGTCCTGAATGGCCACTCTAAAGTTGTGCGATTGCTGCGTGAGGCTGGAGCCGACAAAGATGCCACATTCAAAAGAAGGGCTATAGGCTATAGTGTACCATTTAAGTGCACCTTTCTTTCATCTTGAGCAGGTCTCATCCACATCCCATCACCACAACTGCGCCAACTGCGCCACCCAGATGCGCCAATGTCTGTCCGCGCAGACCGGTCTGTCCGCGGCGAATTTCCGGGGCCCGATCGACCCGGAACGGGAACAGATGTCAAGGTGTCGACCAAACACACCCAGGGGATCCATATCCCTATAGGGATCCAAGTACCTTCTCAAGTACAGTGATTGGAGACACTCTGATGTAGGTTTTGAGGGTCCAGTTGTACCTATAGGGATCCGTTTTCGTACCGAACCGACCCGGTACGGTGAGGAAGGAGACACTCAAACATCGTAGGTGCCAGGAGGGTCCGTTTTCGTACCGAACCTGAGGAGAAGGTACGAAAACGGATCCCTAGGGCATGTTAGTAGGTCACCAGTGGTTCCAAAGACTGCATCCGTAGACCGAACGGAACGGGCCTTCGGTTCCTTAACTATTCGTGGGCTGCCTGGGATCCTGACATTGAAACAGTCATGAAGCGTCTCTTAGTATCTCTTAGTCCAGGTCATGTGGAGACTCCAGATCGAGGTCATGAACTGAAGGTCCTGGTTGAGCTGTCCCTTGATTTGTGTTATTTAAACCTATTTAAAATATCCTCGGTTGGCAGTAGAACTAACAAGGGGTAGCTTGAGCACATCCATTAGCATATTTTTGCCGACTACTTTGGTGCCATCCTACCTTCGGCCTTGGCTGCTGCACATGGGCTGCCAAAAACCCGAAAGCGTTGGTTTGGTTGTGGATCTGAGGTGTCACACCTTCACTTGAACCAAACCTACCTATACCAACGTTGGCTAACCCAATCAGATCACCACCTGGGGTCACCCATAGTATTGTGGGCTCCTAACCCTCTCTGGGAGCTACAGCCGGGGATGTTCCTTTTTTGTTTCGACCCCATGCCTACTGAAGTACGGTTGTTTTGCAACTTCTGTTGGGGCAAGTTTGATGCGAACTGCCATGGTGGTTAATGAACTTGATGTTTGAATTGTTCCGGGCAAGCTGGTTCAGCATTTGATCAAGTTCCAGGCGCTTGCGCCAATGGTATTGACCTTGAAACACCTCCGATCCACTGTCCTGTTTTGGAACTGCTTAAGGGCGCAAGTCACCCGCGCCGAGGATCGACTGGCATGCCTTTCACTCCCAGAACCGGCGTGCCTTACATCTACCGATGTCCTTCATGGAGGCGCCTACCTGAACCTTCAAGGGGTGGACCTACAGAGGTGAAGTGACTGTAACTGTAACCCTTGAAGGGTACCGGTTCCTGGGAGATCGAAGGGGTTCTCCAGCCTCTGGAACTGGGGAACTGCGTGGAAGTCCGGTTCCTGGGGAACTGCGTGGTGTCCAGGCATCAAGGCAGATGAAATGGAGCAGAAAAGTGTGGCGCTGTGAAAAGGAGCAGATGAAGCCGAACCTGTTTCTTAGGCACTTTTTGGGCCACAAGTGTTCCAACATCTGGAAGAAACATGGAACGCATCCCTGCCACCATTTTCCACCAAAGTAGGGTCGTGGGAAGTGGATGGGTGTTGGGAGACCATGGCCTCCACAAACAACAAACTGCCCCCTTCCACAAACAGACCAAAGACACGTCCTATGGAATAGTTCCATACGTGTACCCCATGATTCCCTCATTCATGACCCTCAGGAACCATTGCAGTCCCATACCAGGACCCTACTTCACAGGTCACCACCGTCGCGACTTGGAACAAGTCTACAAGGTCGCCCTCCATGCCATCGGAGACCTGTTGGTTTCGGTGCTGGTATGGACCCTAGGGCTCCGAACAGCCCACCGAACTCGTTTCGAAAATGGGACAGGGGTGGGTGGTCTTTGGGGGGGTCAAACCACCGGTCACCTGAGGATATGGGACAGGAGCCCGATCGGGGGATTATATAACATGGCTGTTTACTCCTCCCAGAGTACAGTACTCCAATGGCTGTTGGTCTTGATTGCAGTCCCATATGGATGATCGTTGATTCACTTCGGATTCGGTCCACCTCTCCTCACCCCACCAGGCGACCTATGCCATGGACGACTTGCATCGCATCGAGGTGCCGGGACATGACCGAGGTCCGTTTCGCCGGGCCAACTTGGATCGGTAAGACTGGAACGTCGACCCGTGGCCAACCTGAAGTCGACCCGTGAAAGTACCTCAGAACATAGGGGCACATGTAGCAGTTGTTGTTGTTCTGGTGTTTTTATAGGCCCCAAAAGGGCCCAAGCACCTTTTAAGAAGGTGTTTGGACCCTTTAAACCAACCCCAAACACCTTATCACAAGGTATTTGGAGCTCTAGGGAGGGTCATGTCACGTCCCATTTTCGAGAGTACTTTCGAGGGTCCAGGAAGAGCATCCACATTTTGAAGAGGTGTAGACGGTGCGATCGCGACACATCAAAAGACCGTCTCATGCAGTTGTATTTTTTCAAGGGGGGCCACAGACTTGGGACACTGTCTTTGGATGGTTTTGAGGTGCTTGTTTATTTTTCAGTCTTTTATATGGAGCCGTTCAATAGCTGACATTGGGGTGGGGATTCTGAGCCAGGTCAATGGTAAATCTTCCAGTTCGGATGGTCTGGGAATGTAATCCTTTTGGTCTCTTCATTTCCCAGACACTCCAAGTATGCTAATAAATACATATATATGCCTATAATATATACATTGACCCCTCCGTCCTGGCAGTCCCAGACAGGTCGTGTTTGGGTTTGCATGGTTCATTTGTGGGCTTTGACTCTCTCCAGTCGCCCTCGTGACAGGGCTGCAGTCGACGTTTCTCTCGCCCAGGCAATTCTGGCGACAGTGAAGCCCTCGAGCTCCAGCTACCAAGCGGCAAGGACCGCGGGGCGCCGTTTGGCACGTCACGCGGTGCGCTTTAAAATCGGTGACGTGGCTGGTGCAAACCTGGGTGGTTGTCATGAAACGAGTTGGGGCCCAATCCTAGCACACCTGGGAAGGAGCCGTCACTTTTCACAAGAACCTCACGATTCTTGAGATGGACGTCGGCCTCCAACTTCCCGCCCCATCCAACTTCCGGCCCTGGTTGGTTAGGATAGCCTCAATAGGCCCTCCGGCTGCGCAGCCGGAGCACGTCCGAGCCGGCAGACCCCGAAAGAGCCGCACCAACGTGGTGACCTGGGAATGTCTAGAGCCCACCAGTGATGGAATGGTCTTATAATCAACCCACCTCGGGCCTGTTTTGTTTGTTGAACGATTTTTTGACTACAAGCAGATCAACCTGTTGTTTAAAACAATCAATTAGTTGGTGCTTGTTGAAGGCAGAACAGCCCCCCATGGTGCCCAAAGCATGCCCTGCAGGGCTTCCGTTTTCGCACCTCCTCCCTCCACCGTCCCTCGTTCACCGCGCACGTGCTCCACGTGCCACTTCGCGTCCATCGACATCCATGGCATCCAGGAAGAGCACTGATGAGGTACTGGCGGATGTCAAGGCTTGTGCGCTTTATTTTTGGGGAAAAGGACGTGGCATTCATGGGGCCAGTTGCAAGTGTTGTACATGGTAGATCCAAAAGGTGCCCCAATACATTGTAATTACAACACCCTTAGAGCGACTCCTACAATCTTAGGTTGTCTCAAGTTAAAGCTACAGTTTCGTTTTGTACATGCGCACTCTTGCTTATTCTTCTTGTTCCCAAGGGCTCCAGTCGTACCTCCTCAGGTTCGGTATGACTGGACCCTCCTGGCACCCACCTCAGTCCCACCTTCAAAACGAAGGCACGACTGGAGCCTAGGGGTTGTATATGCCCTAGGGCTCCAACCACCTCCTGAGAAGATGGTTGGGGTGGGTGCCAGGGGGGTCTAACCACCTTCAAGAGGATATGGTTGGAGCCCTAGGGATGAGAACTCTCTTGTCTTTTTGTCTTTGTTTGATGTGATGGACGCCCCCCCCACACCGTGAACGCTAGCCGACGACATGGGAGACGGCTGAGACGCGGACTGAGACGGCTGAGACGGCGACCTTGGAAGATCAGCCAAAGGTCGCATGGAAAATGGACAATCGGTATATGGAAATGGTAGTATCCATGGTAGACTTAGTATGGATAACATGGAAGTGGAACATGGATGGAAATGGTAGTATCCATGGTAGACTTTGTATGGATAACTTGGAAGTGGAACATGGAGGAAACGAGGAAAGTCCAGGAAGACGACGTTCCTCGTCACGAAGACTCACTCCACTTCCATGCGATGTTGGTCGGAGTGTACCTATAGCCCATTGCCAGTAACAGTTGCCAAAAAGATTACGTATCACTACTTTCGAGAGGTCGGCCTCCAATCAGGCCCCATCATAATCCACTGCTTGGCCATCTTGGGATACTTGGGATCGTTGGCTACGGGGAGAACACCTCTTTCGAAATGACACTCCGGCATTATTAGACTGCAAATATGGCTGGCCTACCATTTGCAGGTGGTGCTTCTTGGTGATGTTTCATGTATCGATCCATATATACCTAGAACCTGAATGACCTCTATTTTGGATCAACAACCACCCAAAATAAGGTCTTTTCCTATCAAAAAAGAGGTCAAGTGGGCTCTAGGTATACATACAGTATATGTACCAGCATCCTCCAGCAAGTCTCCTTTAGAGGGTTCTTGGGCCCCAACAGGTCTCAATATTGGTGACCTGTGAAGTCAGATGCTGGTATAGGCCGTACTTGCGCGGAGCGGGATGTGCTGGTTGATTCATGGAGGGGCCCCACCCTGGTCGTGACCGATAGCTATAGGCTATAGCCTTGTGGTTTAGTCGCAAAAACGGACACGGCCCATTTCCCACCACCTTGTTCCAGTCATTTGTTGTTTGTGTATTTTGCTGATTTTCCACTTCATCGCTGGCTTATTGGGCTTTGATAGGGGTCTCCTTCGCTCTCATTGCACCCCAATATGGTTGAATTCCAGAATATGGCCATTCATTTTTCTGTGTCCTATCTCAAGGTCCCTATATGTGGTCGTCTTCGCGCCACACGCTGGGCCCACGACCGCCGCAGCGGAGCCGAGCCGAACACGCACCGCCGGAGCCTCCGACCGCACCGAGCCGAGAACGCACCGCCACGTCGCTGCTGCTCGCGAAGGCGGATCCTTGTGGGTGGAGGTCTTTGGAAAGGAATGAGTGCCACTTGGTGTCCTCAAACATCGAGCGCGTGGTAGGTGGTATACAGGCGCTTGGGTTGGCGCCTCTAGAGAGGTGCAGTGCAGAGAGGGGGTTTTGGGGGTTTGGGGCAGTTTGGGTGATGGTGGTGTGGCTTGGAAGTCTGGGTGCTGAGGGGGTTGGAGATCAGTGGAGGTTTCAGTAACCTCCAAGGACCTCCAGCTTCGATGGTAGAGACATGAAAGGACTGACCCCTCTTCTTGGCAAGTTGGAGTGCTAGGGAGTGCTCACTAAAGCAGACGAAACAGCCACTGGTCAACAGTGACGATGAGCTCAGGGAAGGAAACGATGATCTACATGGAGGATGAAGGCCTTTAGCAAAAGCAAATGGTTTTTGTTGGCACAGAGAGGCTCCTTGGACCATATGGATTTTGGGCATCACCTCCGCTTCTGAACCGCGAGCCGTGGCTGCGGTTCAAAGGCAATGCATCGCAAGAAGAGCGGCTCTCCCAGGCCGCCAAGACTTCACTTGGTATGTACGACCGTGACCAGGTGAGACCCGTCCAGCGGCACGGCCAGTTGGCGGCTTTCAGAGCTCAACGGCGCGCGAAGCACCGACGGAACGGTGGAAGCGATGAATTCAGTCCAACTGCCTGGGGCCGTGAGTTCAGCAGTCGTGTTTCTTCATCATTGATGGTGTTTGCCGGCCTACAGGGCTGACGCTACGACATCCGACGACCCCGGACCTCGGTGTCTTTGGGGGGCCCGCGCTGCATCGTTGTCGGTCCAACAGATCCGGAGCAGCTTAAGCTGCAAGGTGTCGGCTTTCCGGTGAGAGGAGGACGTTGTAGGGCCAATCTTTGACTTATTGGCCTTGAGACTTCTCATAGGTGGATGTTCAAAGATGTTGCAAGAACTTATAAGTCTTTTCAGACCTCTTCTTTTCCTTTTTTCCTCTTTTGATGTTCGATTTGCGCGTCATGTTTGCCACCGCCACCAGCGCCTGAGGCTTCTACCACAAGAGTTTGGGTGTGAGAAAACTTTCCTGCGCTGTGCCGGGCTTGGTGCCGTGCTGCTTTTGATGTTGTTTGATTGGAGGCTGCCAAATCTGTGGCGGCCCATAAAGAGGTCTTCCCGTGGATCTTGGGGTTCTTGGATCGATTATGACCTAATGGAACATGACCATGTCGGCAGCCTATTCATTTCGAGTACACTTCGAGTACGTGGCTCATCCCGCTCCTTCTAATCCTCTCCCCTTCCGGCTGAAAAAAGACGACGATCGTGGCTCGCCTGTCTGATGCGCCGCGGCTCAGGTGCGCCTGGTGCGGCACAGCGTCGCCCTGCGGCGCCGCGAGAGGAACGGCTTGGACCTGGGCGAGAAGAAGGAGCCGCACCGCGTGCGTCGGACTAGCTCCGGGAGGCGCCGAACGGCAGCTCGGAGCGAGGTCGGAAGGGGCGAGGGAAGGTCAACGCCACCGGGACGATGGAGATGGGGATGGATGCGATTAGGATGGTTAAGGGAGGACGGTGGAGATGGGGAGGACGAGGAGGAAGAGGAGGAAGAAGGGCAACGGGCTTTTGGCTCGCAGGGCGAGAGTGTTTTTTTTCCAGATGATGCGTTTGTTTGGGCTTCGGGGTGTGGGTCACTTCCCCTTGAGGCCCTTGATTGTTGCTGACACTATAAGTATACTGGGTTCCACATCAGTGGGCTGTGGATGTTCGGCGTCTCCGGGCAGGGGTGGATTTCTTTCGGACTCCTGCCCCATATCCTCAGGTGACCGGTGGTTAGACCCCCCAAGACCACCCACCCCTGTCTCATCGAACCGAAACGAGTTCGGTGGTATTTGGAGCCCAAACGGGTTCAAGTTGGCCGTTTCCAGCGAACCTCATGGGCCGATCGGATGCACCTCGACGTCGGATGACGTGATGTCTGTGACACCGACAGGGTCTCTCCGTCCTGACCGAATCTCAGATCAAGCAAGAGAGGTATCCAGTGACCGTAAATGGGGCCACCTGTGGTACCGGACTGGGATAGTCGAACTAGGGTTCTTCAACCTTAAGTTGGAATGATCACGATTCGGACGAGAAAAACCAACAGTGCATGGTCATAGGATAGGCGTCACACAAGTGACGCCGATGTTTGATGATTTTTGGAGCCGACCCAATTAATGTGGCCATCCATAAACCAAAAGAGGTACAGTAGATGGTGAATCAGTGATGAGTCCCAAAAATGGGTGACGCCACCGAAGGCTGGCAAAAAGATTCTTGGCGCTACAATCTGGACCAGCAACCCTAGGGAACCCTTTGGCAGGGGCAGGCCGCTGGAACCCAGCAAGCTCCTTAGGAGACCACGCCTCTCTCTCTCTCTCTCTCTTCCCCAAGACTGGCCTCAAATATCTCAAATCCCTTCAAGTTTGGGAGGCACGCCCCAGGCACGCTCCACTTCCGCCCCTCGACCCGTGCCAGTCTGAAGCTCCTTCTTCGCCACTTCTTCGACTCCACGAGGTCGCCGTGCAACGCCCACCGCACCCGGCGAAGCGCCGCAGGAGAAAGCCCAGCAGATCGAAAAATGGGCCGCCTCCGAGTTGGCCGCCGCAGGCGACGTGGGATGAGAATCCAAGAGGTCCATGTGGGAAGGAACGACCTGGGATGGGAATGGGGTGTTTGGTGAGGTGGAAGGACGGTGGGGCCCTGGAGTATCAGGTTTTGAATTCTACATAGTTAGTTCAACCTCTCAATGTCCAGAGGCTGTTCAATCCATGTCAAGGGAGTTTGGTTCATCAAGAATCAATCATTACTCTATATTGACATAGGTGATGGCAGGGATTCTTTTTCTGGAAGCTGTCGTTGTGCTCAAACATCATTTTGGGATGTTTTGGATGGCGGTTGCAGATTTTGCTGCTTATTCAACCTTTATATATATGGGATGGTTGACCCCATTGACTACAACATATTTCGTTTCTGAGTTGAGTCCACCAAGCTGTGGACCAGGGCTTGGCTGGCGGGTGATTTGAAGACCACTATTTTGCAGCTTGGATAGGCTGGAAGATGAAAGTTGGGCTTCCTGCCCTGGACATCCGTGGATCTCATGCCCCCTTCCTTTTGTTGGATTGCTTCCCCCAACATGGTCCATGGCATTGGTGTAGGAAACGGAAAGCTTCGGTGGTGATGTCACCGGAGGTTCCAACGGGGGTGTTCCTGGTGGTCACGAGGTTTTGATGTTTGTGTGTGGCCATTGGCCATGTCACAGGCCATGTCACCGTCCGTGGCACTTTCCCTGTCACTGCCGCACTGCCGCAAGTGCTTGGTCCGGTTTACGGCGAAAGCACCTGAGACATATATGGGGAATGTCTGGATCGACACGATCTGTTTGGGACTGAAAAAGATGTGCCAAAATGGACGGGTAAGATGTTATGGTCTGATTGTATGTTTAGGACTAAATGGACTGTGTAAGATTTTGGACTACACACCCTAGATATGTGTAGTCTTAAGACATTTTTGAGGGTCGATTGTATAGGGAAAACCTTCAGTCCCATTGAGTGTTTTGATGGATCTGCGCCCCTGGAGGGCGAGAGGTGCAGGAGACACCGGCACCTTTGATGGGCGCCTTTCTGAGAAGGGATGTGGATCCCTATAGGGCTTAGATGGTATAAGGGCAGCTATCTTTCTCAGGTCATGTCAGGTCCATTTGTTGAATTCTTGATCTCTAAGTTTCCTCAATCAACTATATATGACTGAGATACAGATGGCTTTCCAGAGGCATCCTGAAGTTGCCCAGTGATCTTCACCACACTACTAGTAGATCCTTGAAGTCCCCCTTGCTCGGATTCCTTCAGTTGTTGATGTTAACTTTGGAGCAGGACGACTCCTTTTGCTGTTGCTCATACGCAACAGCTTCCTCCACGGCACGGTGGTGCCACAGCGCGTCCGGACGTCGGACGAAGACCTCCAACGGCTTCCTCTCCAGGTGTGGTGATCCCCGAGGACCTGTCCTTCGCGGGCGACGACCTCAACGGGAGCTCCCAGGTACGGTCGTAGCGACGTGCGACGCGATGCGCGACGCGTGGCACGCACGTTCAGACGGCCCGGGCCGGGGTTGGGCAGTGGTGGAGAAGCGCTGGCCAGATGAAGACGCAGCCAGAGGACTAGCATTCCTGTGAAGTAGAGGAAGGTAGGTGCTCCTCCCCAAAAGCCCACGACGTCTTGGTCTCGGACGTTCCGCTGCTTCCGTGATCCACGTCTTGGGCTCCAGTCATATCTGCGTTTCGAAGATGGGACTGGGCCAGGCGGGTCCAGTTATACCGAACCTGTGTTTGGGGTGGGTTTAGGGGGTCCAGTCATACCGAACCTGAGAAGGTACGACTGGATCCCTAGGGCCTGGATTGGAGTCATGAACTTCCGGTGCCAACGTCACCTGCTCAGACTCCTCAACTTTCTGGAGCTGGGGAGAGAAAAGGGTGTGAAACCAAGACTGGCGCCTGCAAGACTCACTGACTATCCACCAACCGGCCCAGCTGTTTTTCAGCCTTTTTCCGCCGATTCTTTCCTGTCAATACGGAGTCCCAGACAGGGATCCCCTTCTGGTGAGGTTTCAAGATGTTCCAGGTTTCTTCAGCAAATCCCATGTTGATGTTCCAGTTTTTTGGGTTCTGTGGCCCACCGGATTTCATGGGTTGAATCATCTGGAATCCCGAATGGAGCCATTGTTTTTGGGTGTGTGTTCGACTACAGCACGGACTGCGCTGTGCGCACGGCACGGAACTGCGCCTCCACGCCTCCCACGCCTCCCGCGTCTTTCGCCCTGCAAAGGAGTGCGCACGCAGCGGAACACCGACGGTGGAGGCGGTTCAGAAGACTGACGGTTTCGCATTTGAGGGTGATGTGACGTGTGATGAACCTCTCGTCGAACTCTTTTCAAGCTCCCAGAACCTCATACGCGTGGCAATAGGCGCCTTATACAATGGTGGGGTTAACCCCTCTATCAAACGATTGATGGATATTGATGGACATTCCAGGGGGGGTTGGGCGCCCTCATTTTATAGGGATGTTTGACATGATACCTGGACCTTCGTGGTCTGCCTTTTTTTGATCCGAGGTTGCATGTGCTGGTTTTTTGATCCATGATCCCAAAAAGAATCCGAGAAGGGAAAAAAGATCCGCAGCTACATTTCTATGATCAGGCTTCGCAATGATGTTTGTTGAAGTGCACTACCAACACGTTGAAATACAACAAATAATAAGCCCTTTGTTTTATCAACAACTCACCGGTGTTTGAATCCCGTCAAACCGATCCAATTCCATCCCATCCCATCCACCAACTCTTCTTGACTTCCCGCTTTCTGTCTCCGTGCCTTGCTGATCATCGACGCTTTGCGAAGTGGTGCGGGACCCAGCCAGAGCAGGAAAGAAATTGGGTGGAAAGGGCACCTATGGTAAAAACAGAAAAACGGTTGAAGCATTATATAGTTGAATGGACTGGAACTTTGTTGACAAACACATCACTTCTTGGCTGTAGTCTTCTTCAATCTCCTTTTGGAGACTGGCTTCTTGGACTTGTATCTGCCAAACACTGACTTGCATTTAATTAGGTAAAGGTCTAAAGTACGCCGTACAGGGATTTGCGGCGAGACACGCCGAGAAAGACGGGAAACGCGGCCAACAACGTCTTCGCACATGTCGCAATTCCAGGCGCTCGGGTTCAAGACCCAAACCACATGGGGTTTTTTGAGTTGACTATACAGCTCCCATTTGGTGTGCATGAGCATGTGCAGTTTGGCCTTCATGGCAAATCCTGGGACTCTGTGGGTATACAAGCAAAGATGGGCCAACTTGTTGTATGCCTGGACGAAGTCATGGAAGTGCCGGTAAAGAACTGCTGCGCACGGTTTGGTTAACCATAAACCATGGTTATACAGTATGTTCTCCCAACCTTGCACACATGTTGTCGCCTTCACGATGGTTTCCAAAGCTGGTCGGTGAAGCTCATCACGGATGTCGTTCAAACAGCTGACTGCAAGTACCTTGAGCCAACCTATCAAAAGGCAAGTGTCCGATCCTTTGGAGTTCACCCAACTGTAGTGCCAGCTGCGAACTGCGTTGAAGAACATGCTTGTGAAGCTGTGTAGAGCTGGGTAATGGTGAGTGGACTGGCAGTATAACTGAAAGTGAGAGTGGGCCCGCTCTAGGAGCGCCTCCCGGTTGTTGCTCACCTCACCCCTCCTTCCATGAAAATAGCCAAACAACAGAATCAACATTACACCGCTCCCTACCAGGTCGCGCAGGATGCCCACCCGGGTGTTGTGGAAAAGGTCACGGCGTAGCATAGCTTCCGGGGCGTCGTCCCGGAAAGGGATGTCAACTATGGGTGGCACATTGGACTCCTTCCATGGTCTGTTTAGGTACAAGGTGTGACCCCAAACAGGCTCATGAGATCCGTCCTCCCATGGTGTCTGAGCTGACCCCGCAGCACATTCATGACACATGCACATCAAGTGTCCGAGCTGTTTGTTGAAACATCGGTCCAATCGAGCAATCTTCTCGTACCAACGCAGATCGCCTTTCAACCCCAAGACACAGCCAAACCAGGTGGTTGTTCCAACGACCACCCCCTGAGTGAACAATGTACGGAACTCCGAGCACAATTGTTCCATGAAAGCATCCAAAACTCCAGTTTTCTTGTAATACTTGTTGGGCAAAACGCACAGCACGAACTTAGTCAAATAACTATGCTGCCTGAGGTTGACAAGCTGCTTCGCACACAAAGGCAGGGCTCCCTGCTCGTTGTTTTGCATGGCTCCGATGTTGAACCGTCTTGTATCTTTGTCAAGCGGATGGCAGTCAGGGCAATGGTTTGCATCCCACTCTGAAGAAGGATCTGGTAGGCCCAGCATAGTCTCCATGGAAATCACACAGGTGTTTCCCTTTTTGGGACCGCGTCCCTCATCCCCATGCAGACAAAAGGCCAGGGTGTTTGAAGGCTTCCGCTGAGGATCGTCCTGTTGGAAAAAGACATGTTGGGGCTCAATGGCCTTGAAGGCTGCCCAAAACTGTTCCAAGTTCTGTCTTGCATGGTTCGCATCCACAACACCACCTGTGACCAACTCCGGACAATTCTGTAAGAGAAATTTGGTAAAGCTCAACGGGGACAAGTATGGGAATTCAAAGACCTCTCCAGATTCGCAATGCTTGAAGTGAGAGGCTTCAACTTTCCATTTTAGCCCCCATCTTTTGATGAAAGCATGCGCGTCCCTGCACGCGTTGGTTGGCGCAAGGGCTTTTCGACCCTCACCAACCTCAGCCCTGGCTTCGACGCCATACTGGCGTAAAGATGCTGCAGGGACCTCAGATCGATGTTCGGCTGGGAGGTCAATCACTCCGAGGTGACCGGTGTTAACAGCATTTGACTGAGCTTTAAAAACATGATCATGGATGCAACCAAATGTGAAACTATAACTAATGATTGAGTTTGAAAACCCGCAGTTGAGCACCACACCCCATCTGCCAAGACTTCCGCGTAGTTCGATGCGACATCTCCTGGTTCTCTTTGCTCAGAACCAGGACCTGGCATTGGAAAAACCGTTGGGCCATTGCCGCACACACACACACACACACACACACACACACGCAACCCTCCAAGCTTTGAAACTTTCTGGGTCTGGTGTTTGGAGCGATGACTGCTTTTGGTTTTTCATTTGGCGCAAGCAAACTTTTTTGAAGCAGCAGATTCAGCCAGCTAGCTTGTTCACACCCATCTAGGTTGCACATCAATCATGCAATGCATGGTAATCACGCATTGGACAGGCCACTCCCTGACTACCCCCAAAACGAAGACACTCATTGAAGTCTAGCTGAATGCCTGAACAACAAGACGTCAGGGCTCGGGCCCCAAACCCAGGAACCATGTAGCCCAAGCCACCATGCTTTGAGAAAAACATGGACAGCTTGAAAAGCAAAAAGATCACATTAAATCAATCTACTTCTTCTTGCTAGAAGCCTTAGCTTTGCTCTTAGGCGAAGCCTTAGCTTTGCCCTGCGGCGTACCCTTAGGCGTAGAATTAGAAGTCTTCACGGCAGCCTTAGCCTTTGCCTTGGCCTTCCCTTTCGGGGCTGCAGCCTTCGGAATGAATGGCCTGGCACAGCGGATGCACGGTGGACCCTCAACCAAAATGCTCAAAACCATTGCTCAAGTGTTTCAGCGGGGACGGTGTGAAGGCTGGGCCACAAAGTGCATACATAACTGTTTGGCCCACAGCATGTAGCAACCCACAAAACACCAGGCCTTGCACGGTGTTCCAATGACAACGATTCAGCCGCCCTTAAACACAGGCTTGCCACATGCAAAAGGTTGAGTGGGAACATAGGCAAAGACTTAAAGCCCACTGTCTTCGAGTGCAAAGACTTAAAGCCCACTGAGGGCTGGTCGCATTGGAAGCCTTGTCAATCGTCGCTCGAAGCTTCATCTCCACCCTTGGCATTGCAGATGCAGCTATAGGGAAAGGGAACCGAACATGACCCCTAAGACCCATCAAAGTCCATATAAACATGTTGCCAAGCCAAAGCCAGCTAGATCCAAGGCACTCCTTCGGGTATCCTTTGATGACCCCTTGAGAGTACTCCTTCGACAGGTCGGCGTGAATCGCTTCCAAATCCCGAGCAGAATCAACGATGGCAGCCTTCAGCCTCAGATCGGTACTGGTAGGGTTGTGACTGACCAGGGCGGTGAAGCTTACATCCCAAAACTAACTCACCCAAAAGAGTTGACCACCAAGACAACCCAATCAAATCCGGGTAACCGTGACTGCAAATCAGTCAGGGTTTGAACAGCGAACTTGTCATTCAGCTCTTCCATTTTTTTCATACGCTTGGCCAACGCAGTCCTTAGATGGGCTGTAATCGTCCAGTAGGTTTGGGGTAGCGCTATCATGCGTGAAACTAGGCACAAACTCTCAGTGTATCTCAGCTAGTCCTGGCCTGTTTCATGCCTCTTTTCTTGCGTGATGAGGACTGAGGACATTCAAGCAGGTTCTCATGGTCTAGATGGTGCGACCAGAAATCAAGTATGAGGTCACCTGTGCACTCGGAAGCGCATCAGGGTCAAGTTCTGGAACCCCAAGTAGCTTCCTTTTCTTAGACGCTGCATCGGTTTTGTCTGCCTCGTCCAGGAGCTTCTGGTCATCAACACCTGCCCCAGCATTTGGGATTGTGGGCTCGCCTAACTAGTCTCTAAGCGCAAAAGCATGTTTGCCACAAGGTGATTCGCTCCTACAGCTCCCACCTCCACTATCAGGAAGATCAAACCCATCATCCATCCCCTCAATTCCACCCTCCTCAAACCGCACCCGCTTTTTGGTGTGAAGTCTAGAGGTTCGCCTTAGTGGGAGGAGTTGTGAAGAGCAAGTGCAACTCACCAAGCTAGTGCCTGATGCTAGACCCCACTATTTGATCCAAGATGCTTTTCAGTCCCCTTCACACAGCGTTCTACATAGTAGAGCAGGGTCTTCTCATACGGATCTTGCCTGCTGCCAGCAGCTGCTTGCAAGCAGAACTGTGAGACCCAAGGTGCATTTTGGAAGAACAACCTACGACGGGCACGGCACCTCAGCAGTTTGGTGGGGTTGGAGCGGCAGTGGGCTTTCACTGCTTCAATTCGCTGCCTTGGCTGAAGCTGCCAACAATAGGGAAAAAGAAAAACAACCATGATATTTCTGAAGTAGTTTCTTACTGTGGGTATCCATTTTGTGTCCTCTTCATTGTTTTACGCGTTGCATGCCAAACTGCTCGCTGAAACCCCATTCAACCATGTCAGCCTCTGTGGCAAACTGCCCTTCAACGATCAGCTCTGTCTCCCGCATCTCTTCCCGAAGAACTTCGACTTCAGTAACAAAGGTCTCCTTATAAAAAAACTGGGAATTGTGACCATGTGCATGCCCTGAATACGGTGGTAAAGCTGGATGTAGACAGAACGAAAACAAGCGTTCTGACGTTACATGCATGCCATGATTCAGGGCAGTATCCACATTGGCGAAATATTTGTTCAAGCAACTTCCTCTCCTTGCCCTTCCCCCTCCATTCGTCAAAAATTACCTTGGAGACCTTCAGGCTGCCATCAGCCCTGGGAGTGAAAATGCGGTTGGCACGTTGACGGATTGCCCCTGGAGATAGGTCATGCACTCCGAGGTGTGGCTTCGGAGCAAGTTCATCATCGAGGGAAGGGATATCCATCAAGGCCTGAGTCGATCCTGCCGCCTTTCCAACATAAGCGCCCGACCTTGGGGATCCACCGTCTAGACCATCAGCACCAGGGTTTGGAATCTCAACAGGAGTGACCGGGGCCACATGCACCTTGTCCCCATCGAAGCATGCATCCGGCTTTTGCAAATCCTCAATGTGCGGCATGGGATCCCGATAGTATGGAGAAGAGGGAACCTCTTTCCCCATGGGAATCCCTACATCTTCAATCTCCACATCAGAGTCCTGGTCAAGGTCGATCGAGGTTTGCTGACAACCTGCCCCTGAGTCACCTCTGGAGGCCACCGACAGATGGTCAGAGCGAAGAGGCGCGGCGACTGGCCGGTCAGGCTCGTTCTGTGCAAGCCAACTCTCTAGAACCTCAGAGAGTGAATGCTGCATGGGGCAGAACAACTACCCAGCCAGGTTTTAAATTAACCACTAAAAAGAAGATACGCACTATAGCAAAGTAGGAGGTACTTCCAGTTCTTTTCGCATGTCGTCATCAAGTGTTGCTGCATCCATGTCCACCGAACGTTCACGAACTGACTCATAAGCAGCAGTCAAACTCGAACTTGACCATGCTTTGCTTTGCACTGGTTTCATGGCTCTCACCCACTACGAAAACAAAAGCAGATTGGACACCAAATGGCTCAGGAATCATGGGCAGCTCTCAACTACAAAAGCAAATACCACCAATCAGGTTCGCAGGTGACAGATGATGCATTTCCTCCTTTTCATTTGGAGCTTGGTCGTTGACATCAAAGCCCGACCCACTAATTGTGCGACAACCGCATTCCAGCGATGGCTGCAGCCAGCACAGTGTAATTACTTTAATTGGATTAATTAGCTCACTTCATCTTCCTGTGCTCAACCGGGCAGGAGTGTGTTGCTACAAAGGTAACCCCAAACATAACGTTGATTCTCTGGTTTGGTGTCCTCAAACACGATCTAAAAATGGTGTACGGGAAAAACGTCCGTGGCTTGGGAAAAAACGTCCGTTGCTTGGGTAAAAACGTCCGTGCTGAAATTGCTACGTGTGGGTTTGCATCATTGAACTACCCATTGAGCCGAATTAGGGGGTGAAATCACAGTGCCTCAGGCATCAAAGGCCTAAAGTCTCTAGGGATTGCAAGCTCCTTGCATCCGCGCAGGTATCGCAGTGTGGATTCCAGTTCAGCCTCTTCCCAGGAGCTCCACGGGTATTGGCCGTAGAGGGTTGTCAGAGGCGTATGGAGATCCACCTGGGATGGCACAGGAATCACGAATTGCATTAAAAAGGCACCGCTATTATTGAAGTTTGGTGTTCAAGTAAGGCACTGGATGCACCCAATGGGATTCTTCAGCTTTCATGACTGGCATCAAACTGACGATTTCCCTCGCAAAGGCAGGAGGATACACCCTTGGTTGCGAGCATCAAAACGCAGACCATGACTATCAAAAAAATCCCATCATAAACCGTTCACAACACAGTACTACTAGAAAAGTGACCATTGTTTGTAAAAGCAAGAAACTGTGTCGACCGAAGTTCAGGAGTTCCCTTGTATCGCATTTTGCCTTTTCCATCTCGGTATTTGACACAAGTCTTGATCACCGGTTGTTTTCCCTTTCTAAGCTTCCCATCCTGGAGTCTGAGAATTGCCTTCGAGTTCCCCACAAGCATAGTCCGTTTTGGACAGCTGCCTCCATAGTTCTGCATCCATAGGCTGATTCGAAAGACCTGGGGAGCTGCTGAACTTTGATCCCTCTATAGTCATTACAGAAGCCCAGGATGTGCAGTAGTAAAGATTTCTCTAGTTTGAAGAAATGGATACCGTAAGGTTAACCCCGAACCTTCAGACCCACGGATCTCAACATCCCAAAGGTTTGCTGCATCCGGTGGAAGAGTATCATCAGACTCGACGAAGGCTGTTCCAAGATAAAGAACGCATCGAGGCATGCTACCAGAAGCATCAGCAAACATGTCCTGGAACACTGCGAAACTCCATCATTACAGAAACACAAACAGGTCATCCCGTTTGCATGTTGTTTGAAGATAATCTCGAAATCAGTTACCTATACAATGTTTTTGTACTCCAGTCCTTGAGACTTGTTTGTTAGCCTTTCTAACTGAAGTGAGGGTAGTCAAACCCGACGGCGTTAAGACACTTCTCTTCGATGTACCTCTGTTTACCGCCACCCAGGTTGAGCACACGGTCGCCAGCATCATCAAACACTGGCCGAACCTCCCCTGCATCGCAAGGATGACCATCAACCTCAGCTTTGCCAGAGCTAGCAGGCCCCATCGACTGGTGGGGTGAAGGCTGTGTATTGCGAGGTAGCCGCTGTCCATGCAAAACTAATTTTAGATTAGTAGCGCAAATCCAACTTCTCCATTGCAATCGAATCTGGATCGCTTTGGACGGTGTGATCTTCTCTGAGAATCTGATCGGTCTGTTGGCTCGTGATGTTTGATGTCACAAGCAGCACTTTTCAAACCAAGTTTGGAGGCCAGTTGGCTAATCCGACCAACCCCACAAAAGTAGTCTAAAAGGTCCCACTGCTCCTCACGCTGGCTCAGCGGCATCCAACTGCAGAGAAGGATCATAAGGATAAAGTCCTTAGACAACGAGGGCCCCTGGACTATTTATGCTTTGTTTTGTGCGATTACTTAGTGTAGGACTTTAGTGCTTAGCTATAGGAGTCATGTGATGCTTTTGAAGCTCTCAGTTGGTAGGAATGCGGAAGGCCTTTAAAAGTGGAAGGACTATAAAAACGGCTCAATGAGTTCTAATACCTGTTCGATGTTCAGACTTGATTTCAGTCTCCAAGAGTCTTTTGGGGCTCCCATGGCCATCAAGCGACGGACCACCAAGTCAGTTTGCATGGTGGCAACAAAATTCTTGACTATCAAAATGTCTTCGGAAGCTTAAATCAAAATGTCTTCGGAAGCTTAAATCATTGGATGCGAGGCCACAGCACAAGGGTAGCTAAAGCAAGAGTCACACTGTAGATTTGAAGACTTGGCATTGACTTTGAATGCGTGCCAGGAAGACCACTGAAGTAGCCTCTGCCAGCAAGCCAGTTCTGCCCGCGCCTCATCAGTACCTCCGGCCGTGAACAGAGGACTGGGATCATGTGAGTTTATGAGGCTGCTGTGTCAGCAAAGACTCTGAAAGACTTTCAGACCTTTTCCATTGCGTCATGGCTTTCAACACCCCGTGTCGATCACAGTTCAGCCACGTGTGAACACTGGATGTACCAATGCCGAAAACACAAAGTTTCTCCTGGCCAATATAGTGTTTGCGTTGGGTAACACTTTGGACCAGCGTCCACTCTAGCGTAGCCTTTCCTGTGGCAATCCAAAGCTGAGCTTGTAATCACGCATTGATGCAACTTAGCACCAATGCCACCCCCTGGACACTACGGCGGCGCCGTAGGAGAAGATTTTGGCTTCTTCACATTGTCACCTCACATGTTGGGACCACTGCACAGTTGGGGAAATCAAGGAAACACTCCAACAGGAAGTGAGTTGATCAAGGGAAGCATGCATTGGTAAAAAACCTCACCAAAAGGACAACAAATACAGTATATGTTCCTAAGTCAGACCAATTTACGGACTTCATGGCTTTCCAAGAACTTGTCCACATAACGCTCCACAGCTTTGCGATAGTCATCAGCAGAGCCATTGGCCTTCGCAATGGCATGGAAAGCAAAAGTCCACCAAGCAAGCTGCAGGGATCAGACTCATCATTCAAAACAAGAAAAAGAGAGCCTGTGGCCTATGGGTTTCTAGACACATTCTCAAAGTAAAGTCACGATGCCCAAGGAAAGCACACATTTCTCAACTACCAGCCTGCACGGAAGTAGTGTTGGTGATGTGCGGTTCGATCTTGGTCATGTAAGTGGAGACCATGGCAATGAAGCGTTCCCTAGCCTCTTCCTTCTGAGGGGGGCGCCTGCCAGCAAAGGTGGCACGGTTCTTCAGAAGGGCGGCCATCTCATCATTTACCTCACTGCCATTCTTCTCCGCCGCATTCTTTTCCTTGTCGTCCTTGACAGAGTTCTTGGCCTTCTTGTCCTTCACCTCCGCTTTTGCAGCCTGCGGCTTGCGCTTTCGAGCTGGCTTGCCACCTTCAGGCTTGGATTCTCCTGGAGCCTCTTCATCGGCCACCTGCTCAAAAGCCTCTCCGAGGTTGCGGCATGAGCTATCCACTTCATCAGCATCCTCGCCCTCTGCTGGCAGAGCTTTGACCTCAGCTTTGGCTGCCGGACGCTTCATAGCACGTCCCCTCCCACGGCCACGACCTCGACCTTGCGCATGCTCCTCTTTCTCCTCTGGTGGAGCTTTGGAATGAACTACCTCTTTCCAAGCATCTTGGGCTGCTCGTCTGACAGGCGGAACATCTTGCCCATCCGATTCTGGTGAATTCCGTTGAGTGGCCTCAGGTTCATGAAGCATGGAATCAACGGGCTTGGTCTCCAGAGGCGGCTCCACACGATCCACAGGCTTGGTCTCCGGCTCCACACGATCCACAGGCTTGGTCTCTGGAGGATCCACAGGCTTGGTCTCCAGCAGCTCCACACGATCCACAGGC